GGTGCGTGCATATATATTACCTGCACAGACGAAGAATGGAATAATAATAATAATATCGCATTCTTCCACTAGCCCACACAACATTATTCGCATTTCATGCGGCATCCGGCCTTTTCTTCCAATCCTCGTTCGTGCAGTCCGTGGGAAGCACAGCCGCAGGGCCGGCACCGCGTGTGGGTGACGAAGCAAATTAAAAAAAAAAAAAGGAAAACACACATACTGGTACTAGCCGTCCCCGCAAGGACATGCACGACCAGTCCCAATCACCGCACAGCAGCACAGACAAGGGCGATGAAGAGCAGCAGCAGGGGCGTGCGCACCCACACAGTGGTGACATCGCTGCCGTCCGGACCGACAAAATTCTGCAACAAAGCGGCAATATTTTCTGTACTTTCGTTTGCACTTTCGTCTCTGGTCGGTTGGAGCGGATTCGTGCCGGTAACGGTGCTGGTGCCTTCGCCATTGGCGTCGGATTCGCTGTCACCCTCATTACTGTTGTGGGAAGCTTCATTGGCTGCGCCGTCGCCGGATGGAGAAGAGGACGGCCGTCCGGAAGCTTCGGGTGCCGATGCCACGTGTTCATTCGCGTCTGTAGACGTCAGCGGGCTGGCGGCGATGTTTTCGCTTGGTCTTTGAGCAGAGCCGCCTTCGTCTGTGTGCTCAGGCGACTCCTCCTCGACGGTGATGTTTTCGCTCAGCATTGGGGCAGGGCCGTCCTCGGCTGTTTGTTCAGGCAACTTCTTCTGCGGTGCCTCAGTTGCCTCCCTCGGCGGACTGACGACGCCGCTCTGTGCCTGGCCAACAACCGGCGTTGTCGGTGCAGCCGCCATAGCTGCCGGGGCCGCTTTTCCAGCCTGCGGTTGCGACTGAAGCTGTTGCGCGCCATCAGTGGCCTCCCGATCATTGTTTTGTGCCGTCGCCGAGCTGCTGCTACTTAAATTCTCGTACGTCGCAAATTCTATCTCGAACAAAAATTCTACCCGGCCACTGGGAGGACGGCAGAATTCTTTCGCTCTCCTTTTCGAATATTCGTAGAAGTCCCCACCGGCAACGCACACCCGTGCACGCTCATCATTGTCTTGATCGACTTCTCCAGGCTTCTTAGGGCACTTTTTCCATTCCTCCTCGCCTCGAAGACGCCAACTCAACTTACCGTCAGTCCCGGGACACGAAAAAGCCACAAACAAAAAGGTTTTTGCCGGCACAGCAGTCCCGCAGACGGACAAGCAGCAGCAGCAGCACAAGAGCGCGAGGATCAGCAGGTCGCACATCACGCGGCGCCGCAAAGTCACCATCATCATTCGTCGTAGAGTCGCTCGACTTTGTGAGACAATCTACACAGTGGGGCAAGGACAACGACAAAAAGAAGAGGGGGAGAGGAATACATGTGCCGCACTACAGGGACACACACACAGAGACGGCCGTGAAGCAGAACCCAGCACCCCACACACACTCAAAAGGGGAAGGAGGAGAACAGTGTAGCCCCTAGGCTCCGGTGGATGTAACTGCAGTTCTGGGAACCGGGAATGGGTGCGCATTCCTCATGGAGGGCACGCACCCACAATGAGTTGCCGACCCCACAGGAGATATGCAAGCAGAAGTGATGGTGGGTGGGCGTTCGGTATGCGGCGTGTCTCACGGGAAAGGAGGAAGCAACACGAAGGACAAATAAAAATCCCACATTTGTCCAAGAGCGGAGCCACATTTCGTTGTCTGCCAGGCAAATGACATCGGATGCCTCGCTTAGCCGCATCCGCCAGACGCCCCGCAGCCCACGTCCATCGCGGAGAGAGCACGCAGACCCTCAAGCTTCCCTCACCGGCACTGTCGTGCCAGCGCACGCATGTGAGTGACGCGCAAAGGTCCCACGAGCCCAACGGTGAGTCGATGCACCGCAGTTCCCAGAACAAACTGGGGCACCTCGCTCTCTGCCCTTCGCCGCGGAGCCACCCCCGCACACGCCACCACATCCGCCACACCGCCGCGAATCACCGTCCTCCCACAAGACTCTCGCAAATGCACAGCACGCACGCACCCTCTCCTTCCAACAATCAAAAAGAACGCAAAATCCAAAACTTCTGTGAAGAAAAAACAAAAGATGACACCATTGTCATGACAACAAACTGAAGTGACGACAACGAGTTGCGGCCGCAGAAGCCCGACCCCTCTTTCCCCAGCGCGTGGCTCCCCTCTCTCCCTCCCTCGCTTCTCACCCCATAGCCGCCATGAAGAAATCCTTCGCGGATCGCCTGCCGGAATTCGCCGGCACCCACGATTGAAGGCAATGGACAAAGTGACGGCGGAGCCGCAGTGCACTCATGTGCCGCGCAAGCGTGTCTCCCGCCACAAGGCTCTATCAGCACCCCCCGCGCCACCGTCCGCCTGCGCCGCCCTCACCGTCTTGTCACACCAGCAATCCAAGGCACCCTCCCGGAGAAGATGCTCCCGCAGTAGCGCGCCAACGCTGCCGTCCGTCAGCCGCACCGCGCAGTGATTCTCCCTGCAGACAGCACCGCAACTCGCTGAACGCGATGTGAACCTCCAGATCTCTAGTCTCAGCGTAGTCCCTCAGGGTGTCGAGGAAGCAGCGCAGTCCCACAATTTCATCCGCAAGGCAATGCCACTTGCCGCGCCAATGCCACGCCAATAGAAGACGGTTATACGCGAGTGGGTAGCGCTCCGCAATCGTCTGCTGCAGGCGCGCGGAGAACACGGAGCGGAGCAGCTCCACCGAGGACCGGCGTGACGCGTTGCCATGAACTCCTGCATCACCTGCTGCGCCAGCGCTTCCTCCGTCATGGTTGGTCCGTCCGCGGGGGGCGGCGTCAAAAGGAACCGCGCCGGCGTTACACTATCGCGACTGGAAAATGCGGTTTGCCACAGGAAGAGCCCCCACGCCGCCTACCAAAACCAAAAAGGACCAATGGGGAAAAGGAAGAGATGGACACACAGGAGGGAGGGAGAAAAAGCAATGCGCAGGACACACCCACGGCCGCAACAAGAGGGGCGGGGCGCATCCAAGTCCACGGCACCGTCCTTTACTTCTCTTCCTCGACGGAATAGCACTGCGGCTCACAGCAGGTCTTGGCGGGTGGCGCCCCACACTCACAGTGAGGCACGGCGCACACCATCCGCTCCCTCCGAGTGCACTCAGCAGGCCGGCGCCCAGTCACCCTCGTGCCATCGCAATGGGGGAGCACAAGCAATCGTCGTCGCGGACCATCGGTGCCTTTAGCAGAAAGGAAAGAGAAGAAATGGGGACATGTCAACAGCACAACCAGCAGAGGGACACTCAACGGGACACGGAGACGCAAAGTAACAGTGGACACGGCACAAACGGAAAACAGCCGCACGGAATTACCAAAAACAGAGAATGAAACAAAAAAGAAAGAATGAGAATCCCGCAGGACCCCCGGAAAATTTTTAAAAAAAGAAAAAAAGAAACTGAGTATTCGAAGAAGCAACAAGAAAAACTGAACAAGTGGAAAAACAGAGTTATGAGAGCAATTTGTTCCCAGAGGAAGTAATTCTTTGCAGGGAAGGTCGCAAATGTTCCACGCGGCAGCCAGTCACTCCTCACAGAGCCGCGAACCCCCAAAGTCCCAACAGAAGCAGCAGCGATGGCAGCAGTCCGCTCCCTCTCACAGTGCCGCCGTCACCCGTTGCTCCTCCAACGGCATGGGAGTTCGACGACGCCGCCCTCCCCACACTTCCCTGCGATGGACTCGGCGGCAGTTGCTGTGCAGTGGCAGATTCCCCCGCCGTTGTCTTTTGACCCCCTGCCACGGTATGAGAAGCAGCCTCCGCTGGTGATGCGACATCTTTTTCCAAATCGGCATTCCCACCAGAAAAGGTCAAAAAGCGGTTGTACAGCAGGACGTTCGAGACCGTCACATGCACCTCTTCTTAGCTCCCTGCGCTGACTCCATCCCCTCCAATGTAGAAGTGGGAGATCTCGTTCGAATCTGTAACTTTCAATTCACATGGCGCATCTCCCACACGCTGAGCATCGACGTACGCAGAGCCCTGGCTGCCGTTCCGTAGCAAAATTACCAGCTGGTGTGTTGGCCCCAAAGTGCTGCTGAGCTTCCCAGAATTCGGTACGCCATCGCACAGCACCTGCCACTTCTTTTCGCTGTCGTACGACAACTCCATAAGTTTCTCTTGGCCTTCCAGACGCACACCCATCACTGGAATAGTGGTACCTCCCTCCGTCGCTTCCTTGTCGATGGACACCGTCGCCACAAGAGTGAAGTTGTAGTTCGCAAAGTGGTACAGCTGATTCCGCCCCTGCTTGCCAACGGGCCACTCCGCCCCTGCGCCACGCCCTGTGAACTTCACGCCATCGGTAGTCCCTGCTGCCCCAACACCGCTCTTCACTGTGGCGTTCACCCCGAGGTACTCGTCCCTCCATGTACTCTCAGAGAAGTTGCCGGACAAAAAGCCAACCAGCCCAGCCGTGACCACAGAAGTGCAGACAGTGCCAGTCGAGGTACTCTCCGCAGCACTTGAAGTGGGGCACAGCTTGGAGACACTTTCGTCCACTTTCTTCCAAGTCGCCAGCACCTCCTTCACCCGCTCCAGCTGCGCAGTCAGAAGCACAGACCAAAGACTGCGTGACGATGTATCTTCACCGCTCCTATCCTTCTCGTACAGTGCAATCAACTCCTTATTCTCACCTCCACCACTTTTGTACAACAGGGAGCTGGCGGTAACTTTGTCTTCCTCGTCACTGGATACCGGCCCAATGTCAACAATGTGCGTATTGTCCGTCAGCCAAAGATGAAGTTCGCCCTTTTCCTTTTCCTCCTTTTCCCTCTCCGTAGAAGGCACCGGCAGAGTGACGAGCATCACTTTTCTCTTATGATCATCTCCATTGCCAACAGTCGCTGTGATGAACCCGCTCCCAACGCTCTTCTCAGGTCCCTCGCGTTTGTTGCCCCACACGCGCGAGAGTGTCCCGAGTGCCTCCGTCCACGAATCCCCCTTGTCACCGGACTCGTACACCCTGCGGCGGCCATCATCACACGCTGTCATCATGATGAGTTTTCCCTCCTCCCACTCCACGACGGAGGGATCGCTGCAGCCATCGGCAGACATCCCCTTCGACACCTCCCAATTCGTAATGTCCCTCAAGTAAATAATCAGCGAAAAAATCTTTCCGCCGGCAGCTCCTTCTTTCTGCCTCGGGTTCTCCCTCGTGCCTTCCACTGGGAAACACAAGCGTATTGTTCTCCATCTTAACACCCGATCCACCGCCTCCAATCAACTGCAACAAGGGATCGTGTTCATCAGCAGAAAAGGTGCCGACCAGTCGCTGGTTCTCATTCCATTGGATTTTTTTTGTTGTCCCCACCACTGACTGTCCCTTTCGCCAGCCAAAGTCCCCAATGAGCTGCAGGAGAGGCCTGATCATCAGCGGCAGCTGTCCAATTGTTGACCCCAACAAGCATGTAAACATCACTTCCCTTCACAACTGTTGTTGGTCGACTCACATCTACGCTCTTGCCTGAGGAACCGCCTTCCCCCAGAACTTGCGTACTTCCTTTGGCTTCCTTCAGTACCTCCTCCGGTTTGCTATCCTCTTTTATCATGAAAAGTTGGGATGCAACGCCAGCAAACACCTTGTTGCCTTCATCCTCCTTCTTGCACCGCGCCTCGGCGACGGCAAATACATCACCATTCATCTCAACAAGACTGGGAACACAAAGCGATTCCACAGTTACATCACCCTCATCGGTGGTGCCCTTCCATTCAAGCTTTTGGTGAGCCTCTGGATTACTCTCCTGAGCAGTCACAGTCCCACCGCAGCAACAGATCCACATCACGACAAGAGGGAGGGGCAGCGCCGCCGAAGTAAACACACGCCGGGACATGTTGGACCTCTGCGGCTCACTCTCTCTCTCTTCCCTCCTCCTTCCGCTGGATCCGGTCACGCCGCGACGGTTGTGTGTGCGGGGTGCCTTCACTGCAGCAACACGTGAGAGCATACAAATACGTGTGTGTGGGCGGTGTGTGTGCTTTTGGTCCTTTCAGTGCCTTCGAATCTCACAGTAGCGATTCGCGCTTGTTTTCCTTCTGTGTGTGTTCAACAAGTGGAGGAGACAGCGACAGCGGCAATACATCAGACACGTCAGTGAGGAGCAGAGCAGAGCACCCACGCGGAGAGCAGGAGACAAGACAATCCGGAAGGGACAGCACGGAGGACCATCGCCCACAGAAAAGAGCAGCAACACGGCAATTCGCGACAGGCCGTCGGTGTGTGCGGGCCAGCCCTCACGCGGTGCAACACGCCTCACAG